TAAGTTATCGTCTAACCAAGGGGTATTCGTAAGCAAAAAATCAGCCAGTACTAGGCAGTCGATACTTTTATCCAAATTTGGTGATGTCAATAACCAATTACCATTCTAACCAGATGTTCACAATGAGCCCCACGATGTCAAGTTGGACGACCTGCATACAATAAGGGCCCAAATCCTGCAGAAACAATCGGAGATCTCCGCTATAAGTCTTTTCGTCGAGTCTCCAAACTTACCTTATCTATTTTCGGAATAATGATTATCAAAGGAGCCGAAAGAAGACCAGATCCATTTATCGAGCTATGTTCAACTTCCACGCTAACCATTTAAGTTGAATCTGAGGAGGGAGGAATTATGTCACGACTTATCCCTAGACCCATATGAAGAAGATGTTCCGCTAGATTTTGCAGCGTCAGCTTTTAATCATATAAAAATTAAGTGTTTAGTATTATTCTTTCTGTATAATTTGTAAGTAAGTAAGTAAGTAAGTAAGTTTGTAAGTACTTAATATTGTTATAAATAAAATTACCATAAAGTTTTTTTAGCAAGTTTTATAGGTTTGTGCAGATTTTATAGCATTTTAAACTCTGTCCAAATTTTTAAAAAAATCCCTTATCATCACATTCAAATTTTTTTAATATACTATTCATAAACTAATTTACTACTTGCTTAAAAAAACCTACTTGCTTTGGGTTGCGATTAACGGAGCAATATTTTTTTTTGTGACAGATGTTACAATAAAAAATAAAGACCTAATAGACGTTTGGTTAAAAACTCCAAAAGGTTATCGAAAACAGTCGGTTTATGATAAAATCCTTTCCCTACTTGATATTGAAGAACCGTCCAACAGTTTAAAAAATCAAATTATGACCTGTAGCAAGATTTTTGGGTTAAAATGGCCACTAAATACGCTCCCGCAAGCGACTTTTGGACAAAGAGGTGGCCTGGCTGAACCAAATTATATATTACGAAAACAATTTACCAGAAAATCCATATTTAAACCAAGAACAAGCTCAGACCAGTTTAAATCGGAAAGGAAGACCCCGGGTTCTTTTTGAAGAGACTTCAATTAAAACAAAAAGAAGACGCGTAGCCGAATTAGAGGACACAAGTCCAGAGGAACTACAGTTTGCTTCACAAATTGTAGCTTCGGGAAGTACGAGTAATCAGGTTCAACCTACTGCAAGTTTTACTCCCATTGAAGCTTTGGCACTTATGTTAGATTTGGATATATCTTTCAGAAAATACGTAATTCTTAGATCGGCCATTAATGCTAAAACCCAAAATTTTCTTCCCAGCTATTTTCAACTAAAAGATGCCCAAAAAGAAATTTTGCCTTCCAATATAATTGTATCTGATATTTCTGCGGAAGTAGATTTGCAGGATCTTTTACACAAAACAATAGAAAGCATTTTAAATTTAACTAATTTACATAGTTCAACGAAACTAAAACTTATATGCTTTGAAGGTAGTTCTGGTCATAGCGAATATAAACAAAATTTCAATAGCCCTGAAAGCACAGACGAGTTTTTTTTATTCCTTATTGCGATGGTGCCTCTAAGATTAATTGATAAGGAAACAGGGCAAGAACGATGTAGAAATCCTAGACCCTCCTCTACTTTGTATTGTAGACCCATAAAATTTTTATTTCAAAAAGAAAATGCTAATCTAGTACGCAATATAGAAAAAGATTTAAAGGAAAAAATTCAAAATTTACAAGTGTTTGCAATACAAAGTAGGGATGGTATAAAATGTAATATCCGAGCTGATTGGTGGCTTAAAATGATGGACGGTAGTGTCACAAACATTCTATCAGAAACAAATTCGACAACAAAATGCGTCATTTGCGGAGCCACGCCTAAAGAAATGAACACTTTAACTGTAATTGATCGTCCATCCAACTCAGATAACTACCGCTTCGGTTTGTCCACCTTGCATTGCTGGATTCGTTTTTTTTTGAGTGCCTTATTCATATCGGATATCGAATGCCATTAAAGTCGTGGCAAGTTTGAGGCACCCAAAACAAGGCCATTGTAGAAGCCAACAAAAAACGAATCGAGGCAGAGTTTAAGGCTAAAATGGCTCTTACAGTGACCAAACCAAAGCCAGGGTATGGCTCCTCGAATGACGGCAATACCGCCAGAAAGTTCTTCAAAAACTCACAAATCAGCTCAGAAATTACAGGTGTTGACGAAATGTAAATAGAAAAGTTTTCAATTATATTACGGGTGTCAGCCAGTGGTGGTGTAATTGACTTAGATAAATTTAAAATATTACTAAAGGAAACTAGAATTATGTATTTAAATCTTTATAATTGGTATAATATGCCAAACACTGTACACATGTACATGGTTGTGAGATAATCAATGCTTTCTCAGTACCAATCGGTGAACTTTCTGAGGATGCTCTCGAAGCTAGACACAAGGAGGTAAGAAGACATAGATTGTCTCACACCAGGAAATTCTCTAGGTTAGCATCAAATAAGGATTTAATGTGCATACTTCTTCTCAGTTCAGATCCTTTTATTGCATCTAAAAGAAACATAACTAACAAAAAAAAATGGACAGTCTTATGAAGATATAAATAAATATTTAAAGGATGACAAAAATTTAAGTTATAACAATTTAGGTTTAGATGTGGAAGAATTCTCTAATTATAATAGTTCTGATGAATTTTTTCATGAATAGGTTTAAATTTTGTTTTTAAGTTTTTTATATCTCTGTTCCGTATCAAAACTTTTCTTTTTAAAATTTTTTAAACCAGGTTTACCTACATTTGTTACTTTTAACTTTTTTTTTTTGTCTGAGTTAATTTATTTTTAATTGGTTAATCAAAAAGTCATTTATAAATTTACATGTTTATTCCACTTCTTATCCATTTTAAGTTATAATATAGTATATAAAATATTAGGAAAAGTTTTTGTTCTGGGGAGTAGCACCGTGGTTGCTGCGCCCTCTACCGAACACTAAATAAACTGCCAATAATTTTGTGTGTGCTTTTAGTTTATACATTAAGTTATTCAATATCGTTTACAGAACTTAAATTAATACTTTCATTTTTAAAATATCGAATTTTGTCTTTATAACCATGTAACACTGTGCGACGAATGAATATATTTGCAACGTCTGCGGTGTTATTTAATAGACAAAATACGCATTATTGGATAATAAAAAATGTGTTTTTGAAGTAAACAAGCACGGGCGAAAAGCTGTGAAAGTATGGTGCGCAATTTGGAGATCTAGAATTTTAGGACATATATTTTATCAACAAAATTTAATATCCGTACGATATTCGGTATTCGGCCACTTCTGCATAATAATATTCCCCACAGAGAGCATCCAAATTTAATTTATTGGATTGGACAAAACGGAATCATCTCTTGGCCAGTGAGCAGTCCAGATTTGAACGAGATGGAATTTTTTTGTGAGGCACATTGAAAGATATGGTTTATAAAAATAAACCGTTAACAGTTTTGGAAGGGCAGCAACGAATTCGCGCGGCAATACACTATCTGAATGAAACGAATTACATCTCAAGTACCATATACCATTTAGAAATAGCATAAACTAATTGTTTTCTTCAAAACGGCTGATATATTGAAAAACTAATTTAATTAATTGTACTTTTAAGTAATATGCATTCGTAGTTAGTGTTAATTTTTTGAAATCGTTTCCCGTAGAAATAAGCAATTTGCGAAATTTGGCAATATTGTGCGAAGCTGTTTTTAAAAAGCTCTGTTTTTAATATGACTTCTTCACAACACTCAAAAATGGTTGTGAACAAATTGATAAGGAATAATTTAAATCTTGTAGTCAGTTTTTAATTTTATCTGCCAATTAAGACAAAACGGTAAGTCACAGACCATTTTCATACCATTCAAAAATCCAAAATTTAAGAAAATTGAGAAAAGTATCAAAATGTGCCGATTAGGAAAATTTAAAAAAAAATGGTAATTTTAATAGAAACAACTTTTTTATTCATTTTTTTTTTGCAACCTCAGTAGGTTTCGAGATAAACGAGCCATATACCGAAAACATGTCATTTTACCGAAAGCATTTCAACGGGTTCGATACCTCGGAGTTTGGACCAAAGAGTGAGATAGTAAAATTTTCTTTTGTGATCTCCTGATTTGAATACATTAACGAATTGTTTTACTATCTGCTTATTATAGTATATTGTGCAACAAGTGCGGTGAACGGCATTTGACTCACGAGTTTATTTGACACGAGCGGAGCGCAGCGGACCGAGTTTTTCATAAACGAGTGAGTTAAAAATTTACCGAACGTGTTGCATACTATACTTTTTCTACGAACGTTAGTTTTTGGGTCCATTTTCGCAAAACAACATGAATACATTCACTGACATGACCGTCAGAATTGACAGACGTTAACATTCAAGGCGTGAGAAATATCTCCGAAAACATCCGATTGCTCCCAAATCCGGGCGGTAAAATCCCGGAAATGTGTCCGAAGTGGCTCGGATGCATGGGAAAGAAACTGACTTGGAAAAGTGGCGCCTCCCGCACGCTAGATCGGTGGGTAATTAGGTATTTTACAGACGGAAGTTGAAAAAATCTGTTGTAAGACAACTTGCAGTTGGAGTCGATTCATGTTTCAATTGAAAAATTATTTAAAAAAGGAACTATCTGATTTAGTACTTGATAACTACAATAATAAAAATACCATTTAGTCAAGACCGACTTCTAGAGTGTTTTCATAATCTACTTGATTAGTAAGATCTCACGAACTAAGACTCTCACGATATATTATTAATATTAACTTGTTGTCAAATCTGTCGTTATTTACTTAATAGAAGCCAGAGGAACTGATAGGTAATGGCGGTGGTATTTAATGATAATTTTTGAGGTAATTTGCGGTAATTTCTAATGAAGGTCATAATTTAATCTAAAGCCACTTACTTACAAATGTCCTAGACCGTGGTGTTGATCATGCTATTCGTATTTCCTGTCTGCAGAACTCATCGCCATTTATTATTCATTTCAGTCTAAATCGGAAGACAGCAGCGCAGCCGATTTCTCCAATAGCGATTTCCAGCTAACGACTTTGGTCAAAACAGACATCGACGGAAATCCAGAATATGCAGATGAGAGTCGGGAGGTATATTATCCGCCGATCACATTCGACCACACTCAAATCAAGGCGGAATCGTCGAACGACGACTACCCTCTAACCTGTAAAAGGATGCGGATTTTGCACAACAGTGAAATAAACGACGATAAGGAGACTGATCTGGAAGCGAGTGACGTGAGAGACGAATTCTTTTACTTCGGAAAAAATATCGCGTGCCAGTTGAGACAGCTTCCGTTAGATAAGGCGCTACTGTGCCAATCGAAGATTCTCGGGTTGCTGATGACTTATAGGGTCGAAGCTTTACATAGTGTTTAGTGTACTCGATCTAAACTGGTGGATGATAGAAAAGTGAGGCAATTTTTACAATATGAAAAGACTGGGAGAATGGGGTGTTGTTGTTGTTTAATTCCTTAACTTACAGATATAATGTGTGTATAATCTAAGTGTATAATCTAATTGTTTAAGAAGCCCCCTAACGTCTATAAAAAATGTATGGGCCATAAAATGGCATTTTTTGTGGGTGTACTATTTCAGAAAGATCAATAGTTTTTATTTGTTGAAAAAGTTTTAATGTTCTTTAGTGACATTTAAAACAATACATAAAAATACCAGAATGCTGTTTTTATTTTTACTTTTCAAAAACAATTGCAATTTATAATTTTTTTATGAATTAATGTAAAGTGCTTTTTCTTTTTATCTTAAACATCAAAACATGGTGGTTCCAAATCAGGACTATACGTAGGTTCACTTAGGACCTATGTTGATATCATATGGCTATAATTCCAGTGATCTACACCAAAAGTTGGCGAACATGATGAGAGGAGTGATTTTATTTCAATTCTCCCACTTCTGATGTGGTTGTTGTAGCCAATTGTTGTGCTAGACCCCACTGCACGGCATTAACTGTGCTATTTCACATCCCATTATAAAAAAACATAAATAAATTAAAACTAACTTTTGTTGACTATTTTAAATTAGTACCTTTTTAATTTTCAAAGAAACTTCCACAAGCTAGGTTAATACTATTTACAAATTATTTGGATTCCACCTGCTTCGGGTGCTAATGAATTGAACTTGCTGTCATTTCGCCAATCCTGTTGGCTTCTGCGAAGCTTTAACTTAAACTGGTTAGTATTCTACTCTGTGTCTGCTTATATATTGTCCACGACAATGTTCATTCCTCTCCTTTAGCTCCGTTCTCTCCAACAATATATAAGCAGGTACAAAATACAATGCGAGCCAGTTTCAGCTAAGCGCTAAAGAAACCATTAGGATGATTGGCGAAACATCAGCAAGTTTAAGTCATCAACAGTTGCGTCGGCTATTGATGACTGAAACTTGAAGAATCCAGAATATTTGTAGATACTATAAGTTATTAGATTTTATACAAACTGGAAAAAAATTATAAGGTAATATAGACATATAAAACCGATACAAACTATGGTCACTGCAGGTTTCTATTGTTTAATTATATCGTGAAAACTGTTCTGTAGGGGGTTCGTGCGACAGTTAGTTCAGAAACTAAAGATTTATTCTGCTGAGTGCTAAGGATAGACTAAATCCTAGAAGGTTCTACGGCAGGAACGTTAACATGCTATGTTGCCATGTCTAACAGAACATCCTCCCCTTTACAAAGAAATTAGTCAGTAATATAGTCTTTTAAATAAGAGGATAATTTTGTAATTCTAAACGGACGAGAACGCGCACTAACACATTCACGAATTTCACTGATACTTTCTTTGTTGTCCGTTTCACGAGCTCCTTCAAATTTAGGTGAATCAAAACTATAATTTAAAGTATCACTTTCGAGCTCGTTGGGATTAAGTTTATGATTTACACTGGAGTTAGTTGGGTTAGTAACATCATTGGAAATCTCAACTGACAATGCTTGAGTGACTGACGAAGACCCATTGTTTAAACACGAATGATATTCAGAGTTATTTGGAACAAAATTATAATATATAGCTAAAACTAGGTGCCATCTATTTCTACGGAAAAATCTACTGTTTATTAATTTTGCTGCTTCATAAAATGTTAGGTTGTAAAGACTCCCAGATGTTTTTTCCCATTTAAACTCTATACACCCTATCATAGTTTATACTTTTGAATTAGAAACTAATAATAATTTTCCATTGTTAGATATCCTTATCAATAGAAAATCAGACTTGACATCTGATCATTCCATTTACAGAAAACCTACGCGCACAGACCGATAACTTAATGCTTTGTCACATCACCATCAGGCCCAAACATCATCGGTTATCAACTACCCACTCTCTTGTTTACAGAGCTCTAAAACTATCTCAACCCAAGTCACTGAATCCAGAATTAAAACACCTTGCACTTGCTCTTCTCTCTAATAAATTTCACATTAGAGATATTAAGAGTTCCATGATGAAATCCAAATTACCTCAACCTTGCAAAGACAACGAGTCTGAAAGCAATTCCGCACTTGTAACTGTTGTCCGTCCTGATATTCAAAACATCACTGACAACATATCAAAAATTCTTAAGAAATATCACGTCAAAGGCAACATCAACATTTTCGATCCGTCAAAGATAAAATTCCGTTTGAGATACCAGGAGTCTACAGCATTCCATGCATATACGGAAAGAATATGGGGAGATCGGACTAGGCTCAAAGCCTACTAATAATAATAATAAATAATAATAAAAAAAATATAACAATATCATTATCATTATTAATTCTTACTTAAGTAAGTAGCTGTCTTATTGAAATACTTCAAAAAACTCCAAGTAGGAACACGAAGTACGTGAACTCGCAGGTGTATTTTTGAAATCTTTATAGTTATTATGTACTAGCTTGTAGATTAAAGTATGCAAATATCACACTTATTTAAATAAGTACAAAACTGCCCCATAAATTAAAGTTCCCTACATTTCCTTAAAGGTCAACCCTAGAGTAAAGTTCTTTGGTTTCAAAAGTTGTGAGAAAATGGTAAATGCAAAATTGTAAAGAGCCACTTCGGACATTTCCGGGATTTTACCGCCCGGATTTGGGAGTAATCGGATGTTTTCGGAGATATTTGCCACGCTTTGAATTTTGACGTTTGTCAATTCTGACGGTCATGTCAGTGAATGTATTCGTGTTGTTTTGCGAAAATGGACCCAAAAACTAACGTTCGTAGAAAAAGTATAGTATGCAACACGTTCGGTAAATTTTTAACTCACTCGTTTATTAAAAACTCGCTCCGCTGCGCTCCGTTCCTGTCAAATAAACTCTTGTGTCAAATGCCGTTTCCGCACTTGTTGCATAATATACTATTAAGCGCGACTGAAAAGGTTAGGGTACCTGTAACTGCTGTTGCTGCTACGTCTTCATCTGTCTTGTCTGTCTCGTCAAGCACATAATTTAGTTTTTCAAAAACTATAGCGCCACACAAGTGGAATATTTACTTTAATGGAACAAATAGAAGTGAGTCTGTTATATTATTCTTGCAGAAAATCGAATCGTTAAGAATTTCTAGAGGTATTAAAGAACAACTATTTTTGAATGCTGCATATCTTTTTAAATCCCTCCCAAGCAGTTGTTTGGTTCCACAATAACCGTAGTAGAATTAAAAGCTAGGATACTTGTTAAAAAATTAAAGGATGGCTTTTTACCTTATCATTATAATGAAGATCTTATGCAGGAAATTCGTAGTAGAACTCCGGGTGCTAGTGAAAGGGTAGCTTTGTTTATCTCCCAATATGAAAGGACTTTTTAATAGGTTAAACAACAAACTAGATTAAAAAACTATTGCACTAAAATTTGTAGAAATCTGTTGCCTTTCTATGTGTTTCAGCTAGCTTTAGTAAAAATAGTGTGCTTTCAGTTAGAAGAATCCCGAACCCGATTTGAACGTTATAAACCACCACCAAGCCACAAATGAAATATGTGGGAGCCTGATTTAAGTAGTCTTTCTTCCAGCTCTAACTTTTCCGTTTTCATATGCCTTGTCTTCTGTTAAATGCTGGAATTGTGATTCGTTTGGTCATTATCATAGTAGCTGTAGAGAACGCAGACGTATTTTTTGCTTTCTTTGTGGTCGTAGAAGGAGTGTTAAAACAAAATGTCCCCAGTGTATAAAAAACGCCTCAAGTGGCAAAGTAACCCTGGACGCCGTTGCCCAACAACGTCTAGAACCAACAACAAGTGCATCCAAGATCCAACACAAGGTGGAAAACAAAAACTCCAAATCAAAACATGTTTGAAAGAGTGGAATGATTGGTTACTTAAAGTTAGAGAATTCATGAAACCAAAAGTATCTTCAATTAATCCTTTGTTAAAAAGCAGTTTGATGACAGAACTTATCTTAACGTTTCTATTGATTCGGAAAATATCTTAGCTCTGGTAGACACGGGCAGCAATGCTTCTATTTTAGGTTCCGCTTATACGGAAATTGAATATCGCTATTAACTACCACAGCTGCTGTCATGTCACTACAGCTGATGGAAAACCTTAAGATTTTCTGGGTTATGTTAAACGGGTACATTTCTCTTAATAATGTTTCTAGAAACCTCAAAATTTTGGTTATTCCCTCTCTCACGCATTCCTTGATTTTGACAATGGATTTTCTTCGCCTTTTTAATTTTAGTGTTGATTTCACTGAACTTTCTTATAAGTCTCCATTACTATCTATTAGTATCGTGGATACTATTCAGCCTTCTGCTAATATAACCCTAAAAGAAAAAGAAGAGGTAGATAAAGTGTCTGAGTTGTTTAGAGAGATAGGTCCTAAAGACAGCATTGGGCGTTCTACCCTTATTGATCATACTATGATGATACTGTGATGCAGAGACACCTTAATTATGAAATAGGCGAAATTCTCCGCCTAGGTATAACTGAACCTTCGTAGTCATCTTATAATAGTCCGTTGTGATTGGTTCCAAAATCAGATAGGCAACATAGAGTATGTTTCAATGGTCGTAAGTTATACTCTAACTACTAGGGGATTCGTATCCAATGCTTCTGATTGACTCTATAGCTAGTAAACTTTGTGCAAAAAGCATATCTTCAAAATTTGGATCCTGCTTCTCATCCGAAAACTAACTTCACTATGCATAGTAGATCAAGTTTCGGCTTAAATAATTCTGCTCAGATTATGTGTAGATTGATGGACATAGCAGTTGGACGAGCCCTTGAACCGTATGTTTTCTATTATATCGATGATTTGATCATAGTCACTTCAGATTTCGCTACTCATATTAGAATTATTAGGGAAGTTTATAAACGTTTAAAAGGTGGCAATCTTACTGGCAATTTTGAAAAGTGTCAGATTTGTCGTCCGTCACTTAAATTTCTTGGTTTCATCGTTGACGAGCACAGACCGTAAAAAAGTAACTGGCATTGTCGACTCTCCTGTTCCGAAAACTTCAACGCAAAGTCGTCATTTGATTGGTATGGTTGGACACTATCGCTGATTCTTGAAAGATTTTTCTTTTCTTTGCTCCCTTATTTCTGACTTATTGCACGGCCTGTTGTATGCCATTATCGTAGCCATAGAACGTTTTCGCCGTTATGTAGATTCCATTATGTACTGTCATTACTTATCATGCCTCCCTTATTTTGTTAAATAATTTGAAAAACCCTTCTGCTAG